ATCACAGCAGTTTGATCCTGTTGTGTATGGGGTCCCCATGAGTTGGGGGCCAACTCAACGGCAGTTAACAAGAACAACATATTTTTACTTAAGGAGGCCAGATGGTTTCACATCAAACCCTCACTGTCCTACCTTTCAATCCTCTCACAGCCTCCACACCGGATGCCTTAGTCCCCCAATATTCTTCTCCGTCTGTGGTAGTTAAATTGTGCGTCAACTTGGCTGGGCCTAGTTTTGAGTGGCTGGGCAGCTGGATGAAGTTATTCTCCATGATAAGACTGGTAATCAACTCCATGGTAGAATCTACTGGAGCGGCTGAGTAGCTGCCTTCGGGATGTGGTCTGCTTCCAGGTTATAAGGAGGAGTTTTGAGAAAGGTCTCTGGAGCTTTTTGGCATGCTTGGGCCCTGCATATAGCCAAGTCTTCATTCAGCAGGCTGCTATGTTTCCTGCTGATCTTGGGACCATCTGTGGACTTGAACTAGTGACCTGCCAGGTTATTTGGTAATCTTAGGACTATGCCAATTTATTTGTTGACCTTGGGCTTCTCAGCCTTAGCAGCCAACAGCTGCCTGAGTTAAGAGAAGCTTCCAGATTCAGTGGGTGGGGAGCAAGAGGCAGAGTTGAAGCCCAAGGTCGAAGGGCTTTCACCCAGCCCCTAGAGCTGGCACTTTGAACTCAGACTTCTAGCCTCCAAAACTGCAAGGGAATAAAATCACTGTTTGTTCAAGCTATCCACTTGTGGTATTTATGTTAGAGCAGCACTAAATAACTAAAACACCATCTATTGCTGATATTAAGAGATGCCTCCACCCTACTGGTTCTCATGTACCTCCCACATTCTTAGAAGGTAGCAAGGAGGACTGGAGATACCATGGTGATGTCTGTTCTCTACATGCCTTTGGCTCAATCATGATCTCTTCAGGAGTCACAACAGGCGTGTTTGATTTGTGTGGATCATAGTAGATCAGAAAGAAGATTGGTTTCAAGAAAGACAATAGCATTGTGCAGAATTGTCAAGGAGATGTTTGTAAGTACAGATTTGGGTGCCTCAAGAAATCTAGTCCATCACTCATCTGTCAGTTTTTTGTACTGTGGTGGCTTATGTGTTGCTGTGATTCAAGAAGCAATGCCAGGAGCAATGCAGGAAGCATCAAAAGAAGATGGGAGGAATACACAGTCACTGTACCAAAAAGACTTGGTTGACGTTCAACCATTTCAGGATGAAGCATATGATCAAGAACCAATGGGACTGAAGGAAGAAAGCCGAGCTGCACTAAAGGCATTAATGAAATACAAAGCTCCAGGAATTGATGGAATACACATTGAGATGTTTCAATAAACAGATACAATGCTGGAAGCACTCACTCATCTGCCAAGAAATTTGGAAGACAGCTACCTGGCCAATTGACTGGAAGAGATGCATATTTGTGCCCATTCTAAAGGAAAGTGATACAACAGAATGAAGAAATTATTGAACAATATCATTAATATCACATGCAAGAAAAAATTTACTGAAGATAATTCAGAAGCAATTGCTGCAGTATATTGACAGGGAACTACAAGAAATTCAAGCTGGATTCAGAAGAGGATATGGAAAGAGTGATATCATTGCTGAGGTCAGATGGCTGTTGGCTGAAAGAGAAGAATATAGTAAGATGTTGACCTGTGTTTTATTGACTATGCAAAGGCATTCAACTGTGTGGATCATAACAAATTATGGATAATATTGTGGAGAATGGGAATTCCAGAACACTTAATTGTGCTCATGAGGAACTTGTACATAGACCATGAGGCAGTTGTTCAAACAGAATATGGGGATATTGAATGATTTAAAATAGGAAGGGTGTGCATTAGGGTTGTATCCTTTCACTTATTCAGTCTGTATGTTGAACAGATAATGCATGAAACTGGACTATGTGAAGAAGAATGTGGCAGCAGGATTGGAGGAAGACTCATTAACAACATTTATGATGTGCAGATGACACAACCTTGCTTGGTGAAAAGGAAGAGAACTTGAAGCCTTTACTGATGAAGATCAAAGACTACACTCTGCAGTATGGATTACACCTCAACATAAAGAAAACAAAAATCCTCATGACTGGACCAATAAGCAACAT